AAGGAGGGGCACCGTGGACCGGGAGTGCGCAGGACGGGAGGTACCTGCGCCAACCTGTTCGAGAGTCTGGTCCGGCAGGGCGACACCGCGGCGAAGCAGGGGGCTTTGTCCCCGAGGAGGTGAGAGTAGCCGCTGCTCATAACCAAGATTGTAGTAGGGCCATGGGAGATGGTGGTGCTGCTGTTGGCTTTGGATACGGAGCCACAACTCCAGCGACGGGGTACCAAAGTGTGCGGTACACTTCTCCTCCGTTCAGCGGGAAATCGAAAGATTTCAACGAATGGCTAAATGATTTCCGCATGGCAGCTAATGGTGCAAACCTGTTGGAACAATTTGAAGAGAGCGGGAGCTTGGAGATTCCCGTCAACAGCGGGGNCATAGAGCTCGCCTCCACGCGTGGAACTTCCTGTCTCACGCGTTGAAAGAAAAAGATCGGAAAATCATGAAGAGGGCAGAGACGCCCCAGGGAGATCTTCGTGAGCTCAAGACCATACACGACCCTGAATCATCTGTACAGCCGTCAGAGGACCTCAAGTCCCTGACGTCGACCAAGATCTCTAGAGGTGAAAACCCCCAAAACGCCCTAAGCGAGATGCTCCAAACCGCAAAGTCCTTAGCCGAGAAAAGACTAACTGTTAACGAAACGTTCGTTCTTCACCTCTTTCTGGATGCCCTTTCGGACGAGTATGCCATGACAAAGCACAACCTGCGACACGCGAAGGAGTTGACGTGAACTCCGTGGAAGACCAGGCGTTTTGTGCCTTGGCAGTCCCCCCAGGCGGGTGTGGTACCGCTGGCGAAGTAGGTCTAGTGGGGGTTGTGGAACAAGGCCAGGCGGTGTGCGTGGCCGACACAGCGGCCACGTGCTCCATGTTCCGATGTGCAGACAACTTTGTGAACTACCGGGAGCGTAGCGCTTGGCTGAAGGGGATCGGAGGCGACAAGGGCCACGTGACTCTTCTAGGATACGGAGATGTGACCTTAGTCCTACAGACGGAAGATGGCGGAGTACCCGTACCAATACTGAATGCTGCCCATGTACCAGAGGCCCCCTACAACCTCCTCTCGCTGTCTTCGTTGGCGGAGGAGGGCCACACGTATTCGGGGATGATGGGGGGCCTCACGCTGACCACGAAAGCC